GTCTAGTTCCCAAGTCGAACAGTCCGACTGTTCGAATCGAACGGATGGCCCATTCTAACAAAAGAATATAAATAAATAAAAAATGGTCAAAACTATTGAACGGTTCAAACAATTCAACTGCCCAAGTCAGCGATCTATTGACCAAATCAACGTTTTTTGGCAAATTCCGGTTTTGGGGAAAAAATATCCTGTCCGACCGGCCAGTTCGTTCCGGTTTTGAAAACCGTGCAACAATCAACAATGACTAGAACCCAAGAACAACTAAGGCCCCGTTTGTTTTTCGGTGAGTTACCTGGGTAAATGCAGATACTCAGGTAAGTGCATTTACTCATGTTCTTTTATTTCTCATGTAAATAAAGCAATAGTCATTTTAATCATAAAAATCTATTATTACAAGGGGCATTTTTGTCTCATTCAAGTATTGGCAACTCTCTCCCAAGGTGGGAAAGTTATTTACCCACCTAGGATTTGGGGTATCACTTACCCGGATAAGTGATACCCAAGAAAATACATTTTCTCTGGTCCCCACATAAATCGGAAAAAAAAAACAAAAAATATGGGATTCTTGGTCAATAAAAGTCAAAATCCCATTGACCAACTTTCCCTCTCTCAAAATTCAAAAAAAGAACACCCCCTAAAAGGAAAGAACACCCAAAACACAACAGCTTTTGAAATCAGATAGATTGCCAATGAAAACGGAAAAGTATTGTGAAATCAGATAAGCTTTTGCAAAGGTATGCACAACACCAGTTTCCTCTCTTTGGTCCATTTAAAGTGATTACTCTAATCTGATTTCTTTGGGTCCATTTAGGTATTAATTGCCTTCTTGATTTTCTAGATTTGCATTTTGAGCTGACTTCCTACCAAATTGGCCCACCTTCACCCCTACAATAAAAAAATTAGTTGGCTTTCATTTTGAAATCCAGATCTCCTACACTGCTATGCTTGGTTTGAAGGAAAGAGTAGGAAAAGGAAGGGAAATGAAGGGTTACTTGTATAAGATTTGTAAAAGTTTCCTTCCTTTCCTTTCTTTTAATTCCTACTTTTTCCTTAGCCAAACATAGCTGAACGCCTTAAGCGTACGTATACGCTATTAGTATTAAATGAAATCCATATATATATACGAAGGGTTTTGATTGTTCAATGTTCAAACTAGAAGACCTGAAGGAGATGTAAATGTTTGTTGTTGATCACCAGAGACCTGAGATCGGATCTGCTTCTAACAAAATGCTTCAGTGGTTTGTAGTCTAGTTCGAACAGTCTAACGGTTGAACCAATGGAATCGGCAGTTTGTTGATCTGTTTAATATTTTTTTCTTAAACATTGGATCATAAGGTACGTGGAAACGGAATTATAGGTGGCTCTCGGGTTAAACGGTTCAATTATTTGGGTCAATAACGATTTAAAACATTAATTTTTCCAACAGATTAACTATGAAAGTAAATTGACATTAGGAAATGAAGAATAAATCAGATCCCATTCAAATCGGATCAAAGCCGAGTGAGATTAAATCAGAGTCCAATAGAATCTGAGTCCAATTCGGGATCTTCAAATGCAATGGCATTCAAATGATGTATTGAATAATAGGCTCTTTCCATGGAAATCGAATCTATTCTTTACATAGCGCGCCTCATACCGATCTCACAGAACATTGCAAGCGTGCATTGAGTACATTTTATTGGATTCGGATCCAACTGCATTATTGCATAAGCATAAGCAAGCATTATTGGTAGGAGTTCGGCTTCAGTTGGGGCAAAGCCCATTTGGGCAGCTTTTACTGTCTTGCATTGAGACCCTACTTGTGTGCTTTATTTCATGGGGAGATATTCCCCAAATTGCAAAAGGTAGTTAGAATGGTGTGAGCACAGATTTGCCTTGATAGAAGCCGATCTCTATTGGTAGAGTGCAAATGGATCGGATTCTGGTCCAATCCGATCATATTCTATCGGATTTGGATTTCTTTCTGTTCAGATCTTTGGATCGGATCATAGTTTCTGATCCGATCAGAAATAAGATCGGATTTGGATCACCTTTATCGGATTGCATTTTTGTAAATATATATATAATGAAAATAGTTGAAAAGATACTTGTATTTTTTTGTTTATTTATTTTTAATTATTATATTTTATTTTTTTAATAATTTATTAATATTTTAAGAAATTTAAATTGGATTGGATTAGATCCGAAAATCCGACTACTTCATTGGATTCAAATTCAAATCCATACCTATGAGATCTGATCAGATCAATTCTTAATAATATTGGATCAATTCGAATATACCCTAATTCAAATTCGATCTGATCACTAAAAACATCAAGGATACATTTGATGCCCCTTTTTACAATTTTCAAAAAAGAAGAAAGGAAGAACGAAAGGGGGTTAGTGTAACTAGCATATGACTTCCTGAGTTTAGCTTACAATTCCCAACTGATGTTTCTGTCGGTTCCCTTTTAGATTCAGAAGAGGGTATTTGGCATCGTATAACAAAATAGCATTTCCATGGCCCATGCATTGTAGCTTTTGTAGGCCCCTTATAATTGTCAAGAGTTCAACTGTTGTTTACGACTCTGCCAAACACGAAGAGACCAGTGAATAAGCTGTGTGTATTTGTGTTCCATGATCCATCCACAACAACAATCGGGTGGATTGAGTACAAAACGTATTCAGATCCAATGAGTGAGAACTGAGTTGGGTGTAGAGGAACAAAGCATATGGGTTCAAATGTTTTTCACTTGTAGTAATTATTTGTTGGGGCCTTACAATAATCATCACAGTATAAAATCACAAGGTATTTGAAATAGTAATTACAAAAAACTTAATAGCAATAAAAATGATGAAATCTAAACAAATAAAAAGTAAGCACCACAAAGAATACAAAGGTTTACGTGGTTCGGCCTTATTGCTTACGTCTATGGGAGAGATGAAACCTGCTATTCACTACGAAAAAAAAACTGAGAAACAATACAAGTGCTTTGTGGTTTATAGCCCAAACCAACCCTTTACACTCTCACACTAAGAACACTTTGTATTTTTGTCTCACACCTATTTAAAAAAATTGTAACCCTACATACAAAAAAAACTTTTATGTGTAAAATCTCTTAAGAGAAACTACACCAACTATTATATTAGAATTAATTTATCAATTGTAAAATAAGACACAACCCCAACACTATTAGCCTTCCGAATTCCGAAGAACTAAAAATGGATCTTGTCCTTGGCACTTGTGGGGGCGCATATGTGAATTCTTGTCGAGTCATGTGCTGTTCATGCCATGGCCTTTTTTTTTGGTAATTAAAATAGAAAAACAGAGGGAAACATAAATAATTTATTGGGGGCGCATAATGTATGAAAACCCGATTCAATTCCAGCCTCACCTAATAAATGTAAAATTTATTTCGGCTCCCCCCACCCCGCCCACCACGTCAGATAAGTGAAACTTTCGATCTACCCTTTATATCCTAACGGTAATCTTCTTCTCTTCTTCATTCGAACCGAACACAGTAGTCTTCATTCGAACTGAACACACTAGTGGCATCCCCGTCGTCTTCTTTCTCACCCCCTTCTTCCTCATTTGAACCGAACGCAACAGCGTCACCCCATTCCTCATTATAACGAACGCAGCAGCGGCGTCTCCGTTGTCTTCAGTCAACTCACCCCAGGCAAAACATTTTCTTCCTTGAAGAACCGACCCAGCATCGTCTTCTTCTTCCTCAAAGTTACCATTCTTCCTCATTTGAACCGAATGCAGCAGTTTCACCCTCTTCACTGTTTCTCGAAGCCGAAAGGTACAATATCTTTCCATCCTCTTCTTCCCCATTTTGAAATTACAGCATTCACCCTCTTCTCCATTTCTCATTGTCGTTAATCTCCGTTTCTCAGAGTCGTTAATCACCGGAGGTTCATCTCTCATTGTCGGAGCTACAGCGTTTTCCCCATTTTTCATAGTTGTTAATCACCGGAGCTTCGGAGCTTCATCTCTCATCACCGGAGGTACGTGTTTTCTAGTGCTTTGAGTGCGGTAAGCATCTAGCTGTGTCTACATTCTGCACAATTCATTGATTTTGGTTTTGATGATTTCTTGGTTTTGCTAAGTGCTAATTGCTGATCATGGGCCGGGACAGGCCGGGCCCAGACTGGGCTTTGCACTTCTGATAAGGGCTATAGCTTAGGCCTAGGTCCGGACTGACCCAGGGTTCTGGGCCTGAAACATAAGCCCTAGCCCAGGTCTATACAGGTCCGAGTTGGGTCGGGCCTGATTCCGAGCTAATGTCACCCATATATAAAACATTACATATCTATATATTAAATGACATAAAATGCATATAAAYTTATTTTATACATTAATATAATATAAATTATACATGTCATTTTATAATATTTATATATAAAATATATAATATAATGTAAAATAACATGTATACATATGTATACATTATACACAAAATGTATAAGTTTAAATATATGCGGACCGAGCTTAGCCCAAGCCTGGCCTGAAAATTTGTGGGTCTAATGTGGGCCTGGGCCTGGGTCGGGCCTGAACACAAAACCCAGGCTAAAGCCCAGAATTTTCGGGTCGGGCTGAAATGATCACCCCTAGTGCTAATTGAGTTTTGTCATTTTTTATATATGAAATTTAAATGGTACTATTTTTTTTTTGTTACTTGTGCTAACAATAGGCAGTTAAATTCCCGACAGAAAAATGTTAGGTGACAAAGTTGGGACTAGGTGCTCCTCGAAACGGTTTAGGGAGATGCTTTAGAGTTTGTCTCTAAGTTTGGAGCACAAGAGAAGGCTCCAAGAGACTCCCTTTGGACACTTTTTGGATTTGCCACAGGTGATTGTAGAGACGTCCCTATTGAGTTATTTAATGAAATTGTGGGACTCGACTAGGCATTGTTTTATAGTTGGTGGAAGGACTGTGCAATTTAGTGAGGCTGATGTTGCCCTGATAACGGGTCTTGGCCTGTCGAGTAGTACAGAGGCATTGTTTTATAGTTGGTGGAAGGACTGTGCAATTTAGTGAGGCTGATGTTGCCCTGATAAGGGGTCTTGGCCTCTCAAGTAGTACAGTTTCCCTATCGGAAGGTGTTGTTGGTAGTGGATTGTTACCAAGATCTTTTAGCTTTGATCAAAATCACTCTGCCTCTATAGAGCTGGATCTTGGGTGGCGTAGACTAAAGAAGATTGTATGATTAGATTGTAAGGAGTATGTTGAGGAGGTGGTAAAGTTGTTTATTCTGTTCTTGTTCGGTTGTGTGTTGTTTCCCCAAGGCAGTTCGAGGGTGAGCTCCTTCTGGGCTGGATACTTGACGATTTACAACGTATCAGTGATTATGCCTAGGGTAAATGTGTACATCAATTCTTGGTCGGTGGTCTTGATTAGGTTGTTTCTAGTTGTGGTGCTGGATCGAACAGAGGCTCATCCTCGTATAGCGGTTGTCTATTTGGATGCAGCATAGTGTTGATGGTTAGTGTGTATGACATTCAATTTTTTTTTTATTTATTCTTTATGTTATTCTCATACAATTGATGATCATTTATTGGCTGATTTCTTTTTTGTAGGCATGGTTTTACGAGCACACAACATTATTCAGTCCTTCAGTTCCTGATGCTATTCCTCATTTGTTTAAGTGCGGGAATATGGGGTATCAGTGGAAGTCGAAGAGGGCCGATTTTTTGAAGAAAGCTAGGGTGGAAACGGTTCTCACTTCTGCTCCTCTACTTGGGGTGTTTGTAGTTTTTATTTATTTAGTTTTGGTGGAAACTGAAGATCTCATATAGATTTATAAACTTATTATAGGTTATTGAGGGTTTGAACCCTACTAGCGAGGAGATGGCCTTAGTGGATGTTCGGTCGGAGGGCTGTGTAAGTGTTAATTTTTTTTCTTTATAGTGGAATCCTCTATGTGATCTAAGTACATGGTAGTTATTAACCATTGGTGTTGATATGTAGTTTGTGGACCGAGGGGGCCATGGTATGGGTGGGGAACCTTTTTATAATGGAGAAGATGTTGATCATGGGTGGCGTTGGCCTGGGCAAAAGGTATGATTAGCGTATCATACATGTTTTGAGTTATATACAAGTTAACTTACTACTAATGTTGAGATTTGTTAAATTGCTTCTAACTTGATTTTTCAGGAATTTTGCAAATCTTGCATGGAATCCATGGAATATCAAATTCTCTGTACGGAGGCCGAAGAGTATAACTCGACAAGAAAGTAGAACGTGGAACTTCGTGATGAAGTTAATAAGCTTCACAGAATGATGAGAAATAATGGGCTAGACCCTGTTGCAGCACCATGTAGTGATGGGCATGAAGGTTAGGCAAACTACTTGCCGGACGATGATGATTATGGTGTAGACTTACTTGCTGGAGTTGCATGTGGCACCACGGGGGTAGAACAATCTCTCGAAAGGACTAGCATTGCTGCCCCATCCTGCGAGATTCTTAATGGCTCGCCCTTCATTTCCGAAACTTAAATTTGTAAGTTTCCTCGGGCAAGGAGAGAAGAAAAGCGAAGTAGCATGGTGGTGTCGCCCTTTCAAGCTCCTGGGCAGCAAGGGCAAGTAGCGAAAGAGTTTGCTATTGCTGCAAGGTCCAAAAGAGAAGTGAAGGCGAAGGTGAAATGATAACTGTTGGTGTTGTCTTGGGGTTATTTGTAGGATTGTTTTGGTTTGATTTGACTTTCTTATTAGTTTATAAAATGAACATTTGTTGCAGTCAGTGGATGCACGTGCATTGTGGAATTCTTTTAAGATGAAGAACTTGGTCCCAAAGGAGGACCTTGAAGTTGTGAAACAGTTCTTGAAGAAAGGGGAAGTGCACATGACTGTTTAGTAGATTGTGTCTATTTAAGTGATTTGCTTTAAACTACAATTTGTTTGTATTGTAATGAGGTTGATTAATGGTTATGGCAGTGATCAATTGGTATGGACTGATGGTATTGTGTTTTTGATCCCGGATTGTCTGTTGCCCCTCTTCGACCCGAAAGCATTGGTGCATGATGAGGTATCATTTTGGTTTAGGGGAGTGTTGCTTGTCATACAAGGCTAATTGTCAATGTAGCTAATTTGATGTGTGTGTAGATCATTGATTCGTATGGGATTTTGCTGAAGGCAAGAAACACCGACACCATGAACATATGTTATGTGTCTTCGATGACATCGGTATGGGTTGTTGATTGCAATGTGACTGAAATCCATATGCTTGTGATTCATTTTGTGATATAATCTCAATGCTATTTGTTTGTAATGCATGTGTATTTATCGAATGCTTGCAACGATGTTCACTATCAATGGTTGAAGCCCGACGAAATATTGACGTGCGATAAGGTTTTAATACCTTTATCTGAGGACTCACATTGGCAGCTACTAGTGGTGAATTCGTGGACTGCAGTATCGAAGCCTATAGTTTCTTAAACAACAGCCTCCATGATGCATATGCAAGATCCATGGGGGGAGGGGGTCCCTTATAAGTACCCAGATGAGGCGGATATGGCTCGGGCCAACGGGGAAGGCTGACAGTGGGAAATGATGCTTCTGTAGAAACATCATTGGGCCTGGCCATCGGGCCAATGGGTGATCAGAAGGTGTTGGGATGCTCGGTGGGTGAGTGGCAGTAGGGGGGAGTGGGTTTGGTGGCCATCACACCCCTCCACACTCGTTGGATCGATCTCCATGCAATTCGGCCAATTCCTAGAAACGGTCCAGGAGGGGGAGCGCAGGGGTAGTCGGGCGGCGGAACCACCACCAAGGGGTGGGGGGAAGTCCCCTATAAATACCCAGATGAGGCAGAGACGGCTCGGGCGAATGGGGAAGGCTGATGGTGGGAAATGACGCTTTTGTAGAACCATCATTTCCCACCGTCGGGCTGGGCCATCCGGCAATGGGCAATCGGAAGGTGTCGGGATGCTCGGTGGGTGAGTAGCAGAAGGGGGGGGAGTGGATCTTCTGGCCATCGCACCCCTCAACACCCATCGGATCGGCCTCCGGGCGATTTGGCCAATTCCTAGAAATGGTCCTGGAGGGGGGGCACGAGGGTAGTTGGGCAGCGGAACCACCTTCACGGGGTGAGGGGAGGTCCCCTATAAGTATCCAGATGAGGTGGAGATGGCTCGGGCCAACGAGGAAGGCTGACGGTGGGAAATAGTGCTTTTGTAGAACCATCGTTTCCCACTGTCGACCCGGGCCATCGAGCCAATGGACGATCGGAAGGTGTCAAGACGCTCGGTGGGTGAGTGGCAGTGGGGGGACTGGGTTTGGTGGCCATCGCACCCCTTCGCACTGGCCTGATCGACCTCTGGGCAATTTGGCCAATTCCTAGAAACAATCCCGGAGGGGGGACATGGGGGTAGTCAGGCGGCGGAGCCACCTTCAAGGGGTGGGGGAGGTCCCCTATAAGTACCTAGATGAGGCGGAGACGACTCGGGCCAACCAGAAAGGCTGACAGTGGGAAATGGTGCTTCTGTAGAACCACCGTTTCCCACCGTTGGCCCGGGCCATCAGACCAATGGGTGATTGGAAGGTGTCGAGATGCTTGGTGGGTGAGTGGTAGTCGGGTGGTGGAACCACCTCCACGGAGTGGGGGGAGGTCCCCTATAAGTACCCAGATGAGGTGCAAACGGCTCGGACCAATAGGGAAGGCCAACGGTGGGAAACAATGCTTTTGCAAAACCACCATTTCCCACTATCGGCCTGGGTGATCGGAAGGTGTTGGAGTGCTCGGTGGGTGAGTGGTAGTAGAGGGGAGTGGGTTTGGTGGCCATCGCACCCATCCGCACCCGCCGGATCAGCCTCTAGGTGATTCGGCCAATTCTAAAAAACGGTCTCGAAGGGGGGGTGCGGGGGTAATCGGGCGGTGGAACCACATGCACATGGACAGGAGAGGTCCCCTAGACGTACCGACAAGTATCAAAAGTACATAATTTCTGCCATTAAAATCTTAAAATTTCTAGATAGGGAGGATACACGTAGTAACATTAACATTTTCAGATAGGGAGAATACAACTACTAACATTAAAATTTCCAGATAGGTACTAAACATAAATCAAAGGGAAGGTTGTGTGGGGGTGGGGTGCGATAGGGACGATACCCCTACTCAATGGGTGCCTTGCACGTGCTCCTATAATGTCCTATGTTACCATACCGTCCACAATGAACCTCCCTTTTATCAATAGGCTAGGACTCAATTCGTTTGGTCTGGGGTTGGATAGGTGGTTGTTTTGTCTTCGGTGGGTGCAATGTAGCATATGATGAAGTATTGATGTTTGCACTCATGACTGATGACATAGTTGTTGGATGCAACTCATCAGACGACATAGGGTGTATCGACTGAGAGGATATGATCCTTTGTTTTTCAATTATGTAGTATAGGTCAACAAATTCATACACATTCCACCTCGTGTATGATACGGTCGCGCATGCATGTGCACATGGAAGGCCACTCATTTGCCACTCCTTGCACTGGCACATCTATTGGTCCAATTGGACAGTATACTGCCTTTCCCCCTTTGTGACCTCAAACTTATGAGCAGATGCATAGACAACTTGGAACTGGATGCAATTGCAAATTGCCACATGCAACTTCTCTTCTATCATTTTCCCTACCAGTGTTGTGCAGTCCTGGGATTCGTAATGTCTCCTCCAAAGGTGTTCCATCAATTTCAACCGAAATGTGTTCAGCATGGTCATTATAGGCTGATCATGAATGTCTGACACCCATCCATTGAACGTCTCTACAATGTTGGACGACATTTGGTCGTACCGCATTCCTGGGAACTTGGAGTTCGCCCAGTGCTCAGGTTCAGTGGACCTTACCTAGCTGCCAACGCGTTCATTCAATATAAAAAGCCTCCCCATTAGTGCCTCATACTTGTCAGTAGATCTTACGTACATGAGTTTGAACATTATAGACTTTATTGCATCACGCAACTGCTTCGATAAACAAAGTCGTGTCATAAACGATTTTAGATTCACCATGAGGTGTCGACAACAGAAGGCATGTAGATCGAGTCGAAAAATCCGCTGGACCGCATCCACCAAGCTATTGCTCCTATCAGAAACAATCACAACATCTCTATCATCATTTGGTGCTGCTTTAAGATGTCCCAAAAACCAAGTGCAATCCTCAAGGCACTCTGTGGGGATGATGGAAAATACGATAGGGAACATTCCATTGTTGGCATCTATTGTGGTGGCGGCTAGAAGCTTCCCTTGATATTTCCCATTTAAGTGTGCCCCGTCTACAAATAGTAGTAGTCGACACCCATAGCAAAATCCATGGATAGATGCATAGAATGCTAAGAAGAGTCGCTTGAAATGATCATCTTCATCGATACTATTAAGTGACATACGAACCTGGATTGGACTTGAGAATCTTCTTACATAACCTTGGAATAAATGAGTACGAGTCATGCCATTGATTAGAACCTTTGTGACCTCTTTCCCCCTCCAAGCTTGTTGATATGTTAACTTCAATGCGTAGTCACGTTTGATGTCCTTCACGATGTCTGTTGTCCTGTATGATGGATTGTCTCATATATTCTCAACAAGAAGATTTCCTACAAACTTATTTGACCTAGGAAGAATTACAGAGGATGATGTAGGTGCGGTGTGTGAGTGTTGACGTTGGTATGTATGCACTCGGACCATAAGCCCACCTCCCAGTGCACTAGCTCGAATTTCCCACCGGTAGTTGTCCATATTGCACTGTGCATGAATGCATGTCTTGTCATTCCGTTTATATGTATACAAAAATCTATGAACTACAGAGTATTTAGACAAGGTAGTCTGAAATGCTGCCGCGTCGTCGAACACTTGCCCCTCTGGTTATAAGACCAAGCGACGTTGTTGCTGCCATGCTACCGCTGTCAGACATACCATTTGAGCCAACACGTGTATGCATGTTATGGTCATTATCGTCGAAGTCGAGTTCTCCATAATCATTCCAATAGCCCACATCCCTCGTTGGTTCATTCAACAAAACTGTAATGTTCAATGTTTTGGTGTTGAACCAGATAAGTGTTTGTACGTCATTTTGATTACGAAGTTTGAGGGTGCATTTCTCCTTGCACTGGATCGTGTAACATATCTTCACGTCACGTGGATTGATCCCAAAACTACTACAAATGTCTAGCACAAATGAATCAAATTCTTTGGTCTCATCTGTAATGATGCCAACTGATTCACCGTTGAAGCTGCAAATGCAAAAGATTGAATTATCTGCCACGGAGTCCATATGTGTTTATGAACGGAAGACACACCTACAAAAAAAGATATAGATCATCAGTCATAACTACTAGTGCAAATAGAAAATGGGGGCATAAAACATCTGTAAGATGAACGAATAGAATATTGTGTATTAGCCAAATGATAGGTGGACCGCCAACAACCTTGGTAGTGGGGGTTGGTGCTTATGAGATAACTGCTTCCGATGGGGGTGGGGTTTAAATAGGAGGATTAGGGGGTATTTTGAGCATTGTAATGTGATGCATGTCAATCAGTCAATGGGTGACCCGTCGACAGACATCACCATAGGCTGTAATATAGGCCAGACCTGTTTAGTGATTTACCCATGACTTGGTCACCCATGTAGGTCGATGACCGATGGATACTCGAGTGGAAAGGCTATGGTGGTACGACTTGTAGCCCAACGACCAAGGGGCAATCCGTTGCAAAGTAGACGGATTATAGCACGATGCATGTCAATCGGTCAGTGGGTGACCCGTTGACAAACATCACCATAGGCTGGAGGTGTAGGCCATACCTATTTAGTGATTGACCCATGACTTGATCGCCCATGCAGGTCGATGACCGATGGACACTCGAGTGGAAAGGCTATGGCGGTACGAGTTGCAGCCCAAGAACCAAGGGGCAATCCGTTGCAAAGTAGGAGCACTATAGTGTGATGCATGTCAATCGGTCAGTGGGTG